GCCGTGCGGGCCGACTGAGCGCTCCGAGCGCAGCCGGCCATGGAACTGAGCCTGCAGTTTCATGTAACCGCGAGTGGTCCTGAAAACCGCGTGGCCAGTGGCGACAGCCTGGACAGCAGTTCTCTCTAGGCCCAGCTGGAGGGGCTGGGACACGGGACGAGCCACAGTATCTCAGTGCGGAATCCCATCAAACCCTGTGCTCCGGGCCAGCAGGTGGCGTGGTGGTTGGCATGTCGGACTCCCATGCGGCCAACCACTGTTCAGGCCAGGTACATGTGCGTGCCCAAGATCCCAGGAGAACGGAGGAGAAAGGACTCAGCACGGCTTTCCCTCCTGGGGGCTGAATTCGCACTTTCCCTCTCTCTGTCTGCCTCTCTGGCAGGTGCATGTACCCTAAGGCAAAAATCTAAAAAAAGAGAAAGCCCCTGTTGCAAACCAAGGGTGCACAGCTGTGAGGACGAGCAGACTCGTATACCAGAGGCAGTGCTGTGCTCACGACCAGACCCTGGAGGCTTGCAGGTGCTGGGGCTGCAGAGGGCAGACTGCCCAGGCGGTCGGGGCCACTGCCTAGCCCTGGCCCTGGCCCTGGTCCCGGCTCCCCCGTCACCTCAGGGGCTGGGCTCCATCCTGCCCAGTGACGGGGAGCAGGGCAGGGAGCAGCTGTCACCTGCATATCTTCTGTTCTCTGCCATCCTCAGCTTTCGGGAGCAACTGATGTGGCAGGTGGGCTCTGACACACAGCACGGATGGCACCCGCTACGCACGGGGACCCGTGCCAGCGAGACCGCACTGGGCAGCGAGGCACAGGGACCCGTCCCAGCGAGACCGCACTGGGCAGCGAAGCACAGTATGCATGGCTGCTGTCTGCTCCACTGCCGAGCCGAGGGGTGCCTGCCGGTCCACGGGTGCCGTGCCGGTCCACAGCTGCCCCGACGTGCTGGCCCTGCGGGCAGGGATGGGCAGGCTCGGCGTGTGCAATCTCAGACATGGATGTGATCGGGCTGCTCGCCTGAGGCAGGGAAGGAGCCCTCTCCAACGCCACTTTGCCACTGCTCCTGGCATGTGGCTGCCGGCCGCCCTGAGAGACCCGTGGATCTTGGCCCCTGAGATTCTCCCCCAGACCCGCTACCCATCCAGCCTCAGAGCCTGTTCTCAGACCCTTTGGGAGCCCTCCAAGAATGGATCAGACTGGCCCCTCTCCCTTCGAAGGTGGCTGCTTGGGATGCCTGGGGCTCCGCGCTGGCCCTTCACCTGCAGGGATGCTCAGGGTGACCCGACTGGCTACTGTGGGCTGCTCTTGGCGCTGGGCCCGGCTGCCTGCTGTGCTAGCGGACACGATGCAGCAAAGCTGATGTCCTGGAAGGACACCAGGGCATCCACGCTCACTCCCTCACTCGGGACCCAGACAACACCGACAAGAGCATGCACAGCTCGGAGCAGAACCTGCTGCAGCCCCAGATCCCCGGATGACATTCCTGGAGCTGCGCACTCAGAGGTCTGTGGACTCACCCGTGGCCTGTGTACCTGACAGGCGGTGTCTCACCCTCCAGGACACGTGAGGCACCTGGAGCACTCGCCTTGCGCTGCCCAGGGCCTCCTTCCCCGAGGCTTCTGCTGCCCCCACACCCCATGGCCTCCTGTGGCAATGACGGACGCTCGAGACTGCCCATCCCTGCTCAGGCTCGGCCCCGTCACACTGCAGCCAGTGCTGGTGTGCTTTGCCAAACCCGCTGCAGCGGCGCCAGAGTTCGCTGTGGGAGCAGGACTTCCACCAGGCACGGGCTGCATCCCAGGGTTTCCTTCCATATGTCTGGGAAGGGACGTGGCTGCGGCCTCGGGACTGGGAGCACGAGGTGAGGGGAGGCAGCCCGCTGGTCTCCATGCCAGGCCGTGCGGGCCCCTCTGACGGTCCGGCCAGTAGCCCCTCGTCCACCACGCGCCCACCCAGCCCCTCGTCCAGCACGCGTGCACACAGCCCCTCGTCCAGCGTGCACACAGCCCCTCGTCCAGCACGCGTGCACACAGCCCCTCCTCCAGCACGCGTGCACACAGCCCATGGCTGTTCGCTTTGCAAATGGGGGAGGGAACTCCCCTGAGAGTTCTCCGTCGCTTCCCACCCGTGAACTGAGCAGGTGTGGCACCAGGGCCAGGGTCCTAGGGGAGGCTGGGCACAGCCAGCCCGGGCTGATGAAAGCCACAAGTCGGCCACAGCCACCGACCACCCAGCCTCGCGGGCACGGGCCCGAGGGACAGCGTCGGCG